ATATCACCCCCCACCCCCCGGGGGAGATGGCCACACTGCAATCCCTTCTCCATTCTCCTCTTGGGATCTTGGGCACGCATGCACATGCGCCTGGTGTGAGTTTAAGCCACCGGGTCCGGGACTCGAACTGCAGTTGACTACATGGGAGTCCAGCGACATGGCCAGGACTTTTATTGCTGGTCCCAAGACCTTCTTATAGTAAGTTTTCTTTTTTATTTCTTTCTGCATGAGTGAAAGATACAGGGGAGAGAGAGAGAGAGAGAGAGGACTCCCAGTAGGACAGTGTAACAGTGTAACTTGCCCCCCAACCTCAGCCAGCCCTGGACTGTGGCCATGCGTGTGCCCAGAGTACTGAGAGAAGTCCCTGGACCAGAACCTGGAACCTTCTTGTGCGCCCGGCCTTGTGGCGTGTTGTATTTTGCCACTGTGTCACCATCAGGTCCCTGTGTGGTAAGGTCTCTATCAGGACTCAGCGCCAACAGCACCAACAACAGCTCCCCAGACAAGGGCTGGCCGCCACGCCGTCCGAGCCAGTCTGGGCTGCGTCGTCCTTCTAGTCGAACCCATCGGAATAAACCCACGAGGTCGGTCACTTTCAGACCTGTGGAGTGAAGAACCCCACTGCAGAAGACAGCAGAGGGTAACCACGGGAGGCTCACGCCAGGGGAAAGGCAGGAAAGGGCTGTGCGAGGAGCTAAGAGCAGAACCCGTGGGCAGGACACAGAGGCAGGGGCGCCAGCCTCCCGCCCAGCTCCAGGCAGCATGCGGAGCGCCAGGAGGGGTGGGAGCGGGTCCTCAAGAGCCCCTCGCTACCTCCCTCCCGCTCACAAAGCCATCGCCTCTGGGTCATCCCATCTGGCCTCCTCAGTCCATCCCTCAGCTGGTGACCCTCCCTTCATCCCCCGGGCTGGCCCCTTCCTGGTGGCCCCCTGCTCCTGTCCTCGGCTGACAGGCTCCATCGCTATGGCCTGCTGCCAGTTACCCGTGGTTACCTGCCCCAGGCTCGGGCTCCTCTGGCCAGGGCAGAGCTTTCTCCTGTGACGAGCCCAGTGCCCGGCCTCTGCCTGACGCCTGTGCCTGCTGATGCGCGAGCGAGCATGTGGCTTCGAGCTGGGAGAGACACCATGGCCCAGTGCCCGTGGGCAGGCACAGGCCTCCCTGTCTGCTGGGTAACTTCCCCCAACATGGCCCTGAGCAATAATCGGGCCACACCACCTAGCACGATATGTTTATAAGGGCCCAGAAACTGCCTCGGACCGGTACCGCAGGCTGGATCTGAGTCTGTTTTGTGTTTGCAGCACAAAGGGGGGAAATTTTTTATTTTATTTTATTTTTTTTATCTTAGGGCACACTCACTTGCTGGAGAGAGAGAGAAAGAGAGAGATAGTGAGAGGGAAAGTGAGAGATCACCCCCGGGGGGATGGTCACACTGCAATCCCTTCTATGTTCTCCTCGTGGGATCTTGGGCCCACATGCCCAAGCATGTGAGTTTCGAGCCACTGGGTCCAGGACTTGAACCATGGTCAGCCATGTGGGAGTCCAGCGACGTAAAAGCTACACCATCTGCTGGTTCCCAAAGTGAGTATTTTTAAGTGTAAAAGGATAACTTAAATCCTGAAGACCATCTTCTGAAAAGTCTGAGCAGCTCTGGTTTCAACTCTGATCCGTGGCTCCCACAGGGATTATTTCCGAATTTGTCTCCAATCCCTCCTTTGAGGGTGCCGGGTCCCGTGCTCTGATGGGCACGTCGCCCGTGAGCCGCCTGCTGTGCTGCGCAGGGCTGCCACGGCTTTCTGCCC